TGTAGCTAACCGGGTGGCTGGTGGTGTGACAATTGACGCAGTCCGGTGGATCTGCGCAATCTTTCGGCCGTGTACGTTCGGGCGAGCCGTGGTCACCGGTGCATTTGACGCACCTAGGATGAGCGAAACAATTATTAGCCGTGTGGCCATACTGTTGGCAGTTTCGGCACTGCGCCACAACTCCTGATCTTCGCGGGGGCTCGATTACGAGGTCGCTGAGCCCACAGACCCTTTTGAGGTTGAAGATGGCCTTACCTGCCGAGGTAGGGTCAAGTTCAACCATCACCATGTCCATCGGAACACGGATTCTGGGGTGTCTGAGCAGTCAGACGGTTTTCGCCTTGTCGACATCTGACTCTTTGGGGACGCCCTTGATAACTACCCGAAGTTTGCGTTCTTCGAGCAACGAATAGGTGTGAAAACCTGGTTTATTTTCACGCAAATATTTCGTTACGCGGCGGAAGTCGTGCGTAGTATCAAGGTATACGCGGATACCCATGTGTGTGTTTTTCGACCGGGGGTCGCGGATATTATGGCGTTCAAACCACGAACAAATTTGGTGCCACTTAGCCTTTCCCCTGAATAATGATGGGTGGAGAAGGCTTTATTTTTCTAAAAACTATTTATTTCAACTTTAACATTTTGAACATATTTTTAACGAAACCTAATCATTATGAAATTTATATAAAATACAAGAGTTATGTCAGATAGCTAGACATGTTACTTCTTTAAACGATTTTTACGGAATCATTCAAATATGACACAATTCGGTCTGAACAAATAAAACTAACATTCCATATTTAATTTAAGGCGCTGTATGCAGTGAATTTCTAACTATTTGGGTGGTGAAGTAACGCCGCTTAGCGGCGCGCAGCGCACGAGTTTCGTCGACGCGCCCATAGATAAGACATATATACTGAATATATATGGACGCGCCCATCCAAGTCATTCTTTACCTAGTGTGTGTGTGTGTGTAGTGATGGGCCGTAGGATACTATCGATAGTATCATGGAAGGCTTTTGAAAATGTACACAGATGATCCCTATAAAATCTTTTATAGACCATGATTGTATTTTACTGTATTAACTGATGTTTTTGCTTTCAGTCCCGAGACTATTAAAGCTTCATCGGACGCAGAGCTTCATCGGACGCAGAGTATTTTACTTTTATATTATATAATAGGAATAATAATAAACAAACAAATATAAAGTATGAGAAAGCAATCAACAATTTTAGAAAATCTTCTTCCTGTTTATTATTATTTTTTTAATTAAATGGAAAAGGAATTGATTAAAAATACATCTCAAAGTCAAATAAATTAATAAAGGCATATTACTTATAATTATTATTTTTTGTTTTCATGGTTTATATTGTTATTTTAAAAGAATGGCTCATAAAATTTTTGCAGAAATTACAAATACAACTTTTTTATTAATTTTTTTTATATATTAGTAATTTTAATTTATCCTTTAAATGTTCAAGATTTACTATGTTATATTACTTTCTCAACTAAAGTGAAATTTAAAAAACTATCGATAAAATCTTTATTTGTATCGATAAACGACAGCAATTATAACAAGAATCGAAATTTTGTCACTTTCCACAGACCTCGCTTAGCCTGATGGTCCGAGCGTCATGCACAACGGTAAACTATTGCTGTAGGTGTAGTCTCAAGTTCAAACCCTCATCGAGCGGAGTTGTATTTTTTATATTATTTTCACTTTTAATTTGTTAGCCAACAAATTATTTTGTTTTTATTTTATAAAATGGCTCAATTTGGGAAATAAACAAATTAATAAGAAAAATTATAAAACAATTATTTTCGTGTATAAGATAAATTTTCGTTTTAGGGTGAAAAATTAAATATTTTAATAAAAAAATAGATGACGTTAAAAAATTTTAATACTAAAAGTTGGTTTATTTACTGATAGATTGTTCTCCAACTGTTTCAACTTTAAACAAATACAATAATATTTCTTTGTAATTATTTATAAAAATAAAAAATCAACAATAATTAAATGGTAATTAAGAAATATTTCCAAATAAGAAAATCAACAATAAGTACAACAAAAAATTAAGGGATTTGAACCCAATCCATAAATAATGATGTCCTTGTGTGTATCTTGTATTAACTGATGTTTTTGCTTTCAGTCCCGAGACTATTAAAGCTTCATCTGACGCAGAACCGGTGGGCTAGCCAGAACCCACGGGTTTGGGCCCTCCGCTGTGGGTAGGGCCGCGCATGTGCTCATGCGTGCGTTTAATTATGACATGTCATCTAAGGGCCATCGAAGTTGCGGTGCGGACCGAGACCCCGATGGCCGTCGACTGTGTTTTTAGCTAATCGGTGGCTGCGGGCGGTGAGAACCGCCCTGGAACGCGGGTGTACCTTGTGTACGCGTTGTGTTGGTCTCGCCTTTGCTCGGAGGCGAGGGCGAACTATTGTGTTTGTTGGTACACTAGCTGTGGGTGTAGTGTTATCCGGCGGGACCCCCGGCGGTGGGTCCGGCGTATCTAAGTCCCCTTCCTCGACCGGGTCGATGAGGACGTTTCGCGGGCGACGCTTGTTGACGTTCGCGTTTGTGTCGGGTTGGTAATTTGCTGCGCTTACCACCAGAGGGTTGGGATGATGTTCGGCTCTATGGAAGAACCGTTTTGTCAGATCTTTGAAATATTCGCGAATCGTCGGGAGTCTGCAATCGCTGTGCAGATCGACGTTGCGTTGATACCACTGCGCACCGGTTGCACGGCGGATGAACTTATTTTGTACTATTTGCAGCTTGTACAAGCGAGTAGGGTGCGTGTGGGCGAAGATCATGCATGCTTAGGACATAATAGGTCGTACGCAGGTCTTATATAATAATAATTTGTGCCTTAAGGGCATTTTACTTTTAGCGTTAGTTAAATTGTGTAGCCGGCCGGAGACGAACGCGGCTCGATTACGAACGTTATTAATGTGCGTAGTAAATGACATACGCGAGTCGAAAGTGACTCCTAAGTATTTGACCTTTTTCTCCCAGGGGAGCGGTTGGCCATAAAGGGATATTTCTCCCCCCAACTTTCTGCATTGGCGAGGGCCATTATAAAGATGTGATGGGTAAGTACTTCGTGTGAAGTGAATCGCCACACTTTTTTCGGGATTTATTTCTATTCTCCATTTGCGGAACCAATCGCCGAGGCGGTCGGCGGCGCTTTGGAGTCGAGTGGTTAGTATTCTAAGGTTGCGGTCTGAATAAAAGAGCGCGGTGTCATCCGCGAAAAGCGCGAGATTGACGTGGGGGTCTTTGGGTATGTCGCTCGTGTAGAGCGTAAAGAGCAAAGGTGAGAGGCAGGAGCCTTGTGGTACGCCGGCCGTGAGGCGGCGGCTTGTGGAGAGGGTGCCCTCGACTCGATATCGAAAGGAGCGATTCAACAAAAAGGCCCGGATGGTGTGTACGAGCCTGTCTGGCACTTTGAGTGTGTATGATGTCCTATGTATGTATGCACTGTATGTATAGGACTGATAGACCAATCACGAGATATTACATTGAAATTACGCTTTAAATAATTTAATTAACAACTGTTAATACATACAAATAATTTATAAATACGAAATATGTGAATATGTATTTTTTAGTTTCGCGTTTTGGAAGGTCTAATAATATATAAATACGAAACATATTTCGTAACGGTGAGCGGGCAATGAGCAGCATAAATCCATCTAGCAAGGCGCCTCAGCGCTCTCTGTTCAATGTTTGGAGTTGGAAGAGAACCGAAACAACGCCGCGGTGGCGCGGTGTTTTGGCCATCGCGTTCGAATTAATTTTAATGAATTAAATTAATATTTACAAATATCTTACATCAATCAACAAATTAAAACAACAATTCTTTTTTTTTAATATATTTTACACCACTGATATTAATTTCATTAAGATTTGTTGATGTATTACGTTTATTTTTGGATTTGAATTTCACTTTTAGAGATAGTTTCTTGATTTTTTTCCATCGAGAAAATATATCGAGAATATGTTTTGGAAACAATGTTCTATTAGAATGTACGATCAAGATTAACATATATTTTTTTTGCTGCTATAAAATATGTAGATTTTGCTAAAAAAAAACCTATTTTCACTGCATACAGCGCCTTAAAGTACTTTCAATTATTCAAACATAATACATAAACCAAACAGGTCAAAGTTATCATCAAAAGAGTATGTATAATCTGAGATTACCAATCAACACTAACAATAGGTTATATTGTTAATACAACTTACTCTCTCTGTCTCTCTCTCTCTTTGACTATTTGAAAAATTATGATGATCTGGGGGAAACAACAATATTCATTATTGAATTATATAGGAGCAACCGCCATCACCAGTGTTTTTGAAACTTAAATAAGTATGGCTTTACACGTGATCTTTCGAACTGAGTCAAACGAGCAAGTAAGCCTTCGCTAGCTATATAGCAAATGTAGAATACATTTAGCTCGTTACGTAGCTGTAGATAAAGCCTAAGAATATAGTTGTGTCACCTTAAGTTCAGAGACTAGCGTTAAAAATTAACAAATAAATTTTAATAGCAAAGAACGCGTAGTCCGGAAGGCACAGATTCGAATCCTAGCACCGGTGAAACATTTTGCAACATTTTTATCTACACATATATATCATACATTTTAAAATCGGTTCCAATGTTTTGATTATTACTCGCAAAAAATACATATTTATATTTAAATCGTATAAACAAAAAGGGCTGGATTTTTCTAAAAATAGTTATGTAAATTAATGAAATAACGACATTAAAAGTAGCAACATTAAACAATGCCATCGCAGCATATTTTTTCTTCAATCATTTCGCTGTTCTACATTGACTTAGAAATGACAAATCTGATGCATAATCTGTGTTGATTGTATTGGTTTGCATATTGATACATAGATATACATATATGTGTATTTTTCCCCCACGGCAGTGGCCATGCAGACAGATTTTAAAGTTATCACTAGAAGCTTGTTAATATTATAGCTATGGAGCAACCCAAAGCTAATACACCTAAACTTTTCATATGTACTGTTATAGAAAACAAGGATGAAATTGAAGAGGTATTTACATCAACTTTATAGTTTCTCAACAAAGAATACTTAAGGCGGCCATGTAAATCACATTTTCCTTACAATGACGATAGTGGCGCTGTTCTCATGGCGCGAAATTTTAAATAGATTTAATTTAATATCTTAATTTTTACAGAGATACGAAAGGGCTTACGTTTTCCTCCAATCTCTGGTAGCAGACTGCAGTGAAAAAGAAGCTCACGACGCTCTTAATAATGCTGTATGCAAGAATCATGAAGATGTTTCTCTTGGAATGCTTATGTCCATCCTCACTGAACCACATAATGCAACAAAATGTTACAGAGATCTAACGTTAATTACTAGAGATGGACTAACAGGCGTGCAGAATAATTTGTCCAATTTAATTTTAGAAAGGTATTTAAAGTTTCAAGACACTACGCGAAACCAAGTTTTATGGCTATTAAAGGAAATGATGAGAAATGCAGTACCTGGAGTGGATAATGTTTGCTGGAACCTCATGCGATATGCTTCAGGGGGAGATGTTACACCCAAAAATATTTACTTAGTAGAATCTCTTTTGGATATTTACATAGAAAATCGCTTGTGGTTAGATAAATTTCCAGTCCTCATTTGCATGGTTGTATATACTTATTTAAGGTTGATTGAAGATCATAATATACCACATCTCATGACATTACGTCAAAAAGAAGTTAACTTTGTTATTGCTCTTATAAGAGAACACTTTGCAGATGTATTAACATTGGGGAGAGACTTAGTGAGATTACTTCAAAATGTTGCTCGTATTCCTGAGTTTAATCAGTTATGGCAAGATATTCTTGTGAATCCCAGATCATTATGTCCAAATTTCACAAATGTTCTGCAATTACTACATACAAGAACTTCAAGAAGATATTTACAATCAAGGATCACCCCTGACATGGAAAGAAAACTTGTTTTTCTCACATCACAAGTGAGATTTGGACACCATAAGAAGTACCAAGAATGGTTCCAAAGACAATATCTAGCCACACCAGAATCTCAGTCACTTCGCAGTGACATGATAAGATTCATTGTAGGTGTTATCCATCCAACCAATGAACTGCTATGTTCTGATATTATTCCACGATGGGCAGTTATCGGATGGCTCCTTACCACATGTACATCTAATGTAGCAGCATCTAATGCTAAGCTAGCTTTATTCTATGACTGGTTATTTTATGATCCTGATAAAGACAACATTATGAACATTGAACCAGCTATTTTAGTTATGCATCATTCCATGAGGTCTCATCCTGCAGTTACAGCTACTTTACTAGACTTCCTGTGTCGCATTATCCCCAACTTTTATCCGCCATATGCAGACAAAGTTAAGCAAGGGATTTATAATTCACTCCAGCAAATAATTGAAAAGAGGGTACTTCCTAACTTACAGCCATTATTTGATTCTCCTAAATTAGACAGAGAATTGAGAACCACAGTTAGGGAAACTTTTAAAGAATTCTGTATCAACAGCTGTGAGGGTGCTTCTGGCATTAAAGAAGAAGGTGCTGATGATATTTTGCCTAAGGGAGGATTAGACGAACCAGCATTTTCAGATGATGAAGAAGATTCACAACCCAATTTAACAGAAGACACAGATGATGATGATATTCCACTTTCAGAAGTTCGTGCGCGTGAGCGCCCCGAGTTGGCTGCGGCACTACCTATAATTCTAAGACCGTATGCAGAAGCTCTCTTAGATGAACGATCTACAACAGCCACAACAGCATTCATAAATGCCTGTGGATCTCCAATGCCTACAGCATCTGCACTTGCAGATTTATTTGTTGCTATATTACAAGATGCCCCAGCTCTTACAATTAATCCTAATCCAACACCTTCAGAACTAGAAACTGCTTTGGATTCTCCAATTTTTGCAATGTTGGATTTTTTAAATGGAGGGGGCACAGAAGCAAAGAAAAAGTTAGTTTTAGAAATATTCAAGGAAATCCATGTACAAAATTCTTTCCACAACATAGGCTTTTGTCTACTATTTTATTTAAAAGTGTTTTATGAACGTGAAAGACGATCCGAACGCGACGGTGTTAAACGGAGAAATGTTAAGTTTAAAGCAGACATATATAAAAGTTACTGTAATTTCTTAGAACTGAAATTAGCAGACAGTTTAGCAAATGACTTTGAAAAATGTCAAGAAAACGATGCAAATGTTTTGGTATGGCTAATTCCAGATATTTATAGAGAGTTTAAAGATCAAGCACAAAATCACATAAAATTATTGAATGTAATTGTTTCAACATTAGATGCTGTCCAGTTACAACGTCTTGTGTGCCTCACATTACAAGGCAATTTGATGATGTTTAAATCTGATGATATTACAACAATGCTTTCAACAAGTCTGGGTTGGGAGACGTTTGAACAATATTGTTTGTGGCAACTTTTAACAGCTCACGATATATCTGTAGATGATGTGCTTCCAATTATTCCGAAACTATCATATAAAGAGCATGCTGAAGCAGTCACTTCTGTCTTGTTAATGTTAAAACAGGAACGTCCTACAGCAGATGTAGTTAGACAACTATTTTGTAGAACTGTGGATAATGATGACACTTTTGTTGTTTCCACTATTATGTACTGGTGCCAGGACTTTGAAGATAAAGTTGGTGACTTACTTTCAGTCTTATTAAGTACTCGCTACCCTGGCACAAGCCCTAATAAGAGAAAACGAACTGGAAAACACAACATTCCACCTAATGCACCACCATCTGCGGAACAGGTATTTGTCACATAAGCTTAAAAAAAATACATAAAAATATTTTTACAATACCAACAACTTTTTATAGGTTTTAGGTCACTTGGAACAAATAAGGGTATGTTGTGTGGAACAAGATGACATGTCTATTTTTAAAATAGAATGTATGCAAAAGGCTCTTCAGCATTCACAATCAAATAGTAGTGACGGATTACGGGTATTTATAATTGAGTGTTTTGTGAGTAACAAACATCTGAATTGCACATATTTCAATTTTTTTATTGATTTCAGAGACAATACAGTGAACTGTTTTCTTTGGCATGGGAAGATGAATTGCCAATATCACGAAGAGCCAGAAAGTTGATTTCAAATTCGCTACCTCTTAATCAAAATTTACATTCATCAAATGAGGATAGTGAGGTATTTAAAAATATTTTACCATTGCTGATTGGTTATAAACAATAGCAGTATTTTATATTTTGTTAATAGGTTTACAGAACATTAATGAAAATTGCTTATAATGATATATTTTTTACAGGAGGAAGAAATTGTAAAACCGAAACAAGCTAAAAGGCGAAAGAAAGCTATTTCAGATAGTGAATGACATACATTATCTAAGAAATTTCGTAGATTAAAACACCAAAGTGCAAGTCTCAATTTCAATAATTTTTAATATTATTTTCAAAACAGATAAAATTGATTACCCTTTTTTACAAACAACAAGTATGTTTTACAAATTTACCTTAAACTTACATTGGTCAGTTTTACTGACATAAAAAAAAATTGTTTTATACAATTTACAAATTTTTCAAATGTTGTATAATTTATTTTGTATAAAGTTCAAAATAATTATTTGCAGTGATACATTTGTTTTTATTTTGTATAATGTTATCCGATTGTTGCAAAATTAACACATGTTCTGCAATAAGGGACAATGTACATAAAAGTCAATCATAAATGCATTGTAAATTTACACTATAGTTGATGTAATTATAGTTTATTGTTGTATAGATTTTTAGTCTTCTTATTGTGTTAAACTTTTTTAAGAATAAGGCATGAGACCAAGAATTTTATTAAAAAATTGTATAAATACAATTTTTGAAATAGCTTTTACACTAGGATCAATAAAATATTTCCCCATTATTTATACTTATTTGATTTTGTAGATACCAGGGGATTTTTCTTTACTTTACAATTTTTTCAATAATTTAATCTCTGTCAGTATACAGTGTGTCGTTACAACCGCGACAGTAAATGAACACACATATAGAATATAACTTTTTTAAATTGTATCAAACATTTACATTCTTTAAACATCAATATTTACCGAGTTATTAAATTTTCCAAAAGAAACAATTTTAGAATACCCTTATGTATTAAACTGTAACGTAAAGTTCATTTGTAAAGGTCACAAAGCATATGAATGGGTTGAATGAATTTAAAAGAGATAAAACATAGGTTCGAAAGGGGGTTTGAAATGCGACGCTGTGGCAACAAATGAAAAAGTCTCTGAATGTATGAATCAGTCAGTAGTAGTTGTATAGGATGTTGCCAATGTTGTTTCTTTTTTATTTAAGTACCTGGAGGCCCGAGCTTTGCTCGGTTTGTTTTTTTTTTTTTTTTTTTTTTTTTGGTAAATCGTGTATTTTGGAAATCACATTTAAATACAAATTACTAAGTAATGAAATATTTACTAATAAGAAAATATGAACTGGAGTTTTTCACAAAAGAAAGAACTTTAAAAAAATAACAAAAGAACAAATCGACAAAAAATAAAAGATAAAGAAAGCAATGGTCTGAAATCGAAAAAAGTAAAAAAAGTGTGTAAATGATCGTGATACGACCTTCCACGGCCTTCTGTTTCGTGGCTGTTTGTTAGTGGCCGACCGATTACCGACCGAGCTATTATAATATTTTTTTTTTCGGTGAAATTTACCGTCGTATTCGAATAATATTTTTCATTCCCTGAAAACCGGGATAAAACGACATTTTCTAAAAATGAAACCTAGTCTGTTCGTTGATTTTTTTTTAGTTTTTTTAATTATGGAGTTTTTTAATTTTTATATTTTTTTATGATTATTAGCAAGTAGCGTTAAACATGTGTTCATTTATTGTCGCGGTTGTAATGACACACTGTTTAACTATTAGTCTTGTCAGGTTGGAACAATATTCTTAATGGAGCCGTAAACAATCAACAATAACAAAATTACATAATTAATCATATATTTCCCATAGACCCAATTTATCTAAAGCATCATAAAACACTAAAGCCTTCCTTGTTTGTACCTTTGTCTTGCTTGAGCTTTACTATATTTGGATTTCTTTTCTGGTGCTGTGTTTTCTTTACTTGGACTCTCATTCCCCACTAGAAAATAAAACAACATATTTTCAAATAAATTCAACATGTAACAAACTAATTCACAGAAGCTTTGAAACATTTAAATCATACAGAGTTTTGAATTGGTTTATTTTATATACGCAAAAGTGAAATAAGACAGTAATTTCTAACAAATATAAGAAACTTGTAAGAAATATTTTCATTATTATATAATTTTTATTTCTTACAGACTGTTAAAAGAACAGCATGGTTAGAACGTATAAATAAATAATTATGTATACTTACATAAATCTTCTGGTGGTTGTAGCGATTTCCCAGCACTCCATGTATTCATTAATGTTACAGATTTGCCTATAGCCCAGCCTACACCAGCCAATGCCATTGAAAATGCAACCATACTAATAGGATTCTGAAAATATTATTCGAATACAGAATAATAAGAACAGAAATTACGGACATTAAGACAATTAAGTTCATTTGTTGGTAGACTGGTAGAGAAGACCTAATGTTGTTAAGTCTGCCATTGTGTTATGGTGCACATAAACTTTTTAAATAAAATAAAAAACATTCACTGTACAAATGTTACCTCTGTTAAGCGTAAGTGTGTAGAGACATCTAAAAATGAACTTGTCGGGTAAAATATTTAAGTATAGGATTTTTGTCGGAAGAACTCTTTTACTTTTAAAATATAGTATATTTTAAAGAATTTAATTTATACACTTTCTGTACCTGAACTTTCAATAGTTTAAATAATAAAAGGTAAATGTAATGCAAATTGACAAGCTCTTATTAAGACAAGAAGAATTAACATGTTGACAACAATAAAATGGCAGATTTCTATGGTGAAAATTACACTATTTCATTTTTTTTCGAAAACTAAGCATCCAGAGAATTCTGGTTGTTAATTAATTCATTACTGATTTTTCTCTAACATTTAAAACTCTTATAGTAACAATAAGCGCTTGTCAATTTGCTTTACATTTGCCAAATAAAATTATCAAAAAAGTACTTACAGCTAATGTTGGATTTGTTGTAAAACTATAGTCCAATATAACTACAACAGTACCAATTATGAGACCCACACATGTGCATATCCAAATAGTGTTCTGATGACCTAAATTTTAAAAATATTTATTAGTACCAATAAATAAAGAATACTTGTGAAACAATAAAATAAACAGTATAACATTTTGCTACATATTCCACTAAATGTAACATAACATTTAGAATTTATCTAGAGAATATTTTGGATTTAATTCACAACTTCCCTTTCCCAACAGCTGGCCTGACTATTCCTCATAGAATAGATAAAAATGATGAAATATTTATTTCATTATTTTAAACATTTGTTTGACTTTAGACAAAGACTACACCATGGGTTTTCAAAATTAAAAGGATTTGAACATAGTGGTTCAAATCCTTTTTTGGCTTTCAATATTTTTATTTCTTTAAAGATTTTCTATGAGCCTATCATGATAGGCTCACAAATGTGTTCAAATCATGGTAAAAAAATCTAATATGCTGTTTTTGCAATTAGGAAGGTTAGGCAGCTATCAGACATCGACACTGCCAGACTTGTTTACTACAGTTATTTTCACAGCATCTTGTCGTACGGCATTTTGTTGTGGGGTAGTGCATCTGATATAAATTCAATATTTATTATTCAAAAAAGAGCTGTCCGAGCAATTTATAACATCGGAGCCCGGAATACACTCAGAGATCTTTTTAAAGAGATTAATATACTCACTGTTGCGTCTCAATATATTTATTGTAATATTTTGTATGTTAAACAGAATATTAATAATTATCAAAAGAATAGTAACAGACATAAACTAAATACTAGAAATAAGGACAAACTAACTACGCCATTATTTCGCCTACAAAAAGTAAACAGATCGTTCATGGGGCAAAGTGTGCGCATGTATAATAAAATCCCACAGTCGATGTTAAGTCTGCCACTTGATGAATTTAAACGAAAAATTAAAAGTACACTTATGGCTAAAGCCTATTATACTATTGCCGAATATCTTGACGACGCCAATGTGTGGGGTTAATACTGTTGATACTCATGTAGGCTAAAACAAGACTATTGTACGTGTACTATTATATTGTAAACTGATTTTTTAAAAAAGAGCAACTGTTGAGTTTCTTGCCGGTTTCTTCTCACAGAAACTGCTTTCCGAACCGGTGGTAACTTACGAACGTGTTAATTTCTTGTAAAATTTTGACGTTTCATAAGAACGCGCAAGCGTCTATGTGAATAAAGATATTTTATTATTATTATTATATAAATTTTAAGCATAAATGTCAAAGAATTTAACAATTCACCTAAATTAACTTTAAATTCAGGCACATATTTGTGGTAATTATGTTTCTACTACAAGTTGTCCAAATTAATCATATATTGTGCAAATAAGAAAATAAATTTAGTGTATACATATATAAAGCTGTATAACAAAGCTTAATGTAAATAAGTATACCTTTTATTTTCTGGTTTTGCATATCTGTAATATTTTTGATTGACTCCAACAACTTTTGATTATGGGGATCCAATTGCAAAGCTCTAGTATATGAAATAATTGCTTCATCATATAGGCCACTAGCAGCTTCAACTTCAGCTCGTCGAAAATATCCCTTAAAGTTTAGAAATTCATCCATGATTGTGATTCCTTATCAGAATTATGATATTATATTATATACCTTAGCCCATTGGGGTTGTAATTTTACAGTTTCATTCGCGTCTTGAAGGGATAAATAATGTTGATCTAATTTTAAAAAGGCAAATGATCTATTACTATATAAGACATAATTATTAGGATCCATTTTGATTGCATGTGTGTAATGTAACACTGCTTCAATGAATTTCCTATCTTTTACACATTCATTTCCCTTATTCTTAAGTTCTTCAATAGTAAGTGGTACAGAATCCTTTTTAGGTTCTTCCATTATGACGCATATAAAAAAAGTAATTACGGACTGAAACAAAATTTATTAGTGTAATTAATATAATCCTTGATATTTTAACTAAATAAAACTTTCGTTTTATTAAATTATAAAATTTAATGCGTTAGTGTGCTGTCAGCCTATCATAAGTACACCAAACAAAAGTACACAGCAGAAGCAGCAACTTTTTAATTGAATATGAACAAAGATTACTTTTATTAAATATCTGAAATGAATATGAATAACAGTAACACAACACAAGGGATGTGATAGGGGTGTCACTGTCAACCATACTTTATAATAACGTATCCTACTTTATTTTTGACAAAAATAAGTATGAAAAATACTTTATTTTTATTTTTTCATTAGATTAAATATAATAAATAAAATGTATATGTGTTATGTATTAATTAGTATTTTATATAAAATAACGGCAAAGGTTATTACTCAGGGTCTTTTCACTTCTATACCAAAGAGAATGTAATCACTACGTTTATGAGGCGGGACTTCCATACCAAAAATATCAGTTTACGCGGCACTCCAATACCAACTGTACCACAAAGATGTCAAATTGTCAAACAACATTAGGTACCAACGTAACGAGCCAAATAGTGCTTAACCAAGCTAGCTTAGCTTCTTATCGATATCGATAAAAGATACTAGGTAGAAACCGAGGTTTCCACTTAATATATTTTATTAATTTTACTATGTAAGTATCGAGTCCGTATTTATGTCCAATGTCATCTACTGTGGATATTTGGTAGAAGATTGAACTTGAATACGGACCCGAAATAAGATAAATGTTTGGAATTTACGTGCTCTTGGAAAATACGTGCTCTTTGAGCCTGTTTAATAATAGAGCTTCCTCAGGCAACTGAGGAGGCTGATGGGACGATAACTCGAGGGCTTGTTAGCGAGTTTATTCGGCTTGCGAATACGGATAACCGTGGCTTCTTTCCTGTCGTCCTTAAAGAAACAACTGGAGAGAACTGTATTGTAAATGGTCGCCAGTAAACAGATAAGCGACCCAGGGAGAGCTTTAAGGATTTTATTACTGATATAGTCTGGGCCCGAGGCGAATTTGGGTTTTAAATTTTTCATAATATCTTGGACCTCTTCGGGGGTCACTGAGTTTAATGAATCACCGCCCGTGGAGGCACAGCCCTTGTCTCGATTACGCGGTCCACTTCCGTTAGGTGGGCTGTATCGATGTGCTCGCGCGATGGCGTATACTGCTGCTGTAGGTTGTCCGCAAGGCATTCGGCTTTTTCGGAGTCATCTAGGGCTAATGAAGTGCTATTAGGCATTGCTAACGGCGGTAGGGATTCGCGGGGCCTCTGCTTTCAGACTGCGGGTCAACCGCTACTAGGCGGTGTGCGATGGCTTGATATCCTCTAATAGAGTGTCCCACTCGGTATGTCGGTGTTCCGATATGCGATCTTTAACTTCTAGCTGAAGGCGTCGAAGTAGGGTTCGTTTCTGATCGGTATCGGTAGAAAGCTCGTTTGGCTGCATTTTTGGTGTAATTAGCAGTCGAAGGTTGGGTGGAAAGTCTCTGAGCGCGGATGTCGAGTTTTGCATTATCGACATCCGACTCTTTTTGGATGCCCTTTATGACCACCCGAAGTTTACGTTCTTCGGGCAGCGAGTAGGTGTTAGAACCTACTTTGTTTTCGCGCAAGGTATTTTGTTACGCGGCGGAAGTCATCGGTACTGTCAAGATACACGCGGATACCTTGATGGGTGTTTTTCGACCGTGGGTCGCGTATGCCGTGGCGTTCGAACGACACACAAATTTGGTGCCATTTCGCCCTCTCCTGGATGATGATGGATTCCTGGTGGAAGAGGCGTGGCTTTACGTTCGGCGGCATATTCGGGTGCCATGTTTGCAAGGTGGACTGCCGTGCGTGTCACGGTGGGGAGACTAGTTGAGGTCGCGGCCTCGGATTCGGTGTCGCTGTCGGCGGCGGGGCGTTTTTTGCCTTATTTTTTTTCCTTGTGACTACGGTGAAGCCGTCGTCATTGGGATTTACAACGGGAGTTGTTTCAATCTCCATGTTCGAGTTTCGAGCCACCATCCGAGATCCACCGCCGCGACGGAGGCTTTGCCGGTGTTGCCGTAGATCAGGCGGGAACGAATGTACGTTTTATAGATTCCTAATTTGGTTTTCAACGGTATCTTAGACGCTAGGACAGGATAGAGCTTTGGCCTGTTGGATCAGATGGTCGATCAGGGGGACCATCCGCAATTCATTAATTTTGCTAGGTGCGGCAGAAGTGATATAGGGCGGTAGCTCGCCGACAAACGGCGGTCCTTCTCGGCTTTCGGCAGCACAATAATTTTGGCTGTCTTCCATGAAGAAGGAAAGTATGCTGTGCGTAGAATGCCATTAAATAAACGGCACAGCGACACGATCCCCCTTCTGGGCAGCTGTCTGATGACGAGTGTGGTTATGCCATCAAGGCCAGGTGCTTTGCGCATGGGGAAGTAACTAACTGCTCTGCGCACCTCAGCTGGCGTGATGAAACAGTCACCCACCAGCTGAGATACCGGCTTTTCTAAAAATTCATCATGATTCACAAATAGACTGTTTCATGTACCCTATCCCGTTTATAACATTTGATATGTATGAGAAAGTTATGATGAACGGATGGACATGTGTGGAACTTTCTACTTCAACAATATTTTTTATACCATAAGCCAAAATAATCTAATAAGTTCTATAATATTTTATACTAGTAGCAGCATAAAACATCATTGAAAACATCATAAAAAATCGTTTTTATACCTATGTGGGATATCTAATATATAGATAATGTTACGTGTTAGGGTTCGAAGGATTTGGAGAGAAAGACCTGCTGACTCTTTTGAAGACTTTATTCACTAGCACTAGGTCCAAACAATAAACACTAACGATGTCCTAGGTTGTAGCCATGTCGTAGGTTTCACTGGTATCGCTCTTGATCACTAGTTTTCACTCCTAAGTCGCCTCGAAGGTAGCTCAAACTGAACTGTCCTGACTCGCCTCTCTGCGGCTTTTTATATGGGCCGAGACGAGCCCCAGACTATTCTAGAAAGTTCCTTCCTGGAACGTACCCGACTTGCGCGAACGTGATCGTGATTCTGGAAAGTTCGCGAATATACCCGGTTTTCGAGACTATAGTTCCACAGCAGTTCCTGTAACGCCATCTAGTCTTGAATAGGGGGTTTTATGTTGTGTTTGTTCGTTGAGTGGTTTCACTGGGTGACGCTAGATGGCGATAGTTTCTTTGTGTGTTCGTAACAATAATAAAGTAATTATTAGGTACAGTACAACCTCAATTATCTGAACTTTGATCATCCTAACCATCAGTTATCCATACAATGACTTAGTCTATCGGAACACCCGATTATTTGAACGACGGCGCAAAATATACATTGTTGTGTAATCTTATCCTTTAAACGAGCAATTCTTGTGTATATATATATATATACAGCGTGTCGTTACCACCGCGACAATAAATGAACACACATAGAGGATAACTTTTTAAAATTGTATTAAACATTTACATTCTTTAAACATCAATATTTACCGAGTTATTAAATTTTCCAAAATGAACAATTTTAGAACACGTATAAAACTGTAACGTAAAGTTCATTTGTAAAGGTCACAAAGCATATGAATGGGTTGAATGAATTTAAAAGAGACAAAACATACTGTTAGAAGGAGAGGCTTATAATGCGACGCTGTGGCGCGAGTTGTATAGGTGTTACAAATTTTGTTTCTTTTTTACTTAATTAGTTTATTTGAAAAATATTTTTTTTTAATTATGGATTTTGTTTAATGTTAATATTTTTTTATGATTATTGGCAAGTAGCGTTAGACGTGTGTTCATTTATTGACGCGATGGTAACGACACGCTGTATATATACAAGAATTGCTCCGGCTCCAGCGATTTTCATGAAATTTAGTATGTTAATCTACCCAAGATTCGGTGGTGAAAAATCAATCTAGCTAGGTTTCATTTTTAGAAAATGTCCTTTTATCCCTGTTTTCAGGGAATGAAAAATATTATTCGAATATGACAGTTAATTTCGCCGCTAAAAAAACGACCGGCGCCGGCCACGGTTCGTATCACGATCATTTACACACTTACTTTTTTACTTTTTTTTATATACCAGATCATTTTCTTTATTTTTTTATTTCCAAAATAGATGATTTACCAAAAAAAAAAACCGAGCAAAGCTCGGTTCTCCAGATACCTTATAGTTTAATCTTGAATACAGACTGCTGTAAAAAATAAATATAATCATTAATGCAAATCTATTAATGTTTCCATTAACAGAAGCTCAATATGAAAGATGTGGATAATTTTAAACATAAACTAGAATATTTGTTAAACCCTCTGCCAGGAGCTAAATTCTTTAATACTGTTGAGAAAATATGATTTACTAAAGGCGGAACAAATAAAAACACTTGTGTACTTTTAAAATTGATATAAAATAATTAAAATATATTTTATATTAAAAGCACTATATAATATAGAATCATAATTTAAATTAAAAGACCTTACTTGTAAAATATGATCAGAGTTATTAATTTCATTAAGTTTAAAATTAATATTAATTTATATATAGTAATTAGTAAATGCTAACCAAAAAGATAATAATCTATTCCTTCTTTAAGATTTAAGGATTTGAGATTCTTTTCAAATTCACCATTAGTCATATCTAGTTTTACACATATTATTAATGGTAGTATTGCTTCAGTAAAATGAACAACAGGCAATTTGATTAATATTCTTCTTTGCTTCGGACAGAACAATTCTACTGTGTACCCAATCTTCTTTTTATCTACATCACAAAATCCAATAACTTTCTTCAGATTACTACTGCTTAGGGAACGAACAAATTTTCTACCACATTTCCCAGCATTCCAAACAGTGAACTGATTCCAGTGTGACAGAACATTATTTTCTAGTCTTTCTATCTGAATAAGTTGAATTGCTTTTCTTGAAATAGAAAATGTTGTTGCACATTCATGATAAGTATAGATTAATAATTCCTCATCCACTCTGTGCAATTGTCCCCCACTGTCAATATGAGCATGAAAGAAAATGAGGTCTTCTGGTGTACCTTCACCTGTCTCATCAAAGCCCCCTACATTTTCAAAGACTGATCTATGACAGAACCATGTAGGCATAAGTAATGTAGGGCCATAAGAGAGATAAATTTGTTGTTTAAGTTGCATAGGATTTAGGTTATTGACCCAACGGACTAAACGTGGCGTAGAGTTTGTAGGATTCCTTGTAATCTTACTACCTACTAAGGTATTTATATTTGATTTCGCGAAATTCCATTGCAGAAGAATTCTATCATGATGCATTAAATCGTCTACATCTTGAAAACACAAAAATTTACCAGTACTTATTTGAACAGCACCATTTTTAGCTGCACCTACACCCCGTGCAATTAAAGATCCCGTAATAGTAAAATTCACGTGATGACTTTCATAATATTGTGCCCATTTTTTTAGAATTTTTTCGGAGTCATCGCTGCTACCATCATTATATACAACAATTTCAATTTTTGTTGAAGTTTCAAATATAGACTGTCTCGCTATAGATGTCATACAATTATTAATCCATTTTTCACCATTACGGACAGGAATAATAATGGATATATCTACGGCCATAATTTATAATTTTTTGTTTCATTTTATAAAATTCTTTTAGACAACATTCACACATTATAATACTATTTCAGTGCTTTTCTTTTGAGTTCTGACATCTAAATAACTAAAAATCTAAACTAAAGTGATTGCACGTCAATCAAACTTTAAAATCACATGGTTTAGTATATACTACATACAGGGTTGAATTAAGGTGCGGTAAAAAAGATAAAAGTACGATAGTACGAGGACGTGTCAATAAATCCGTGACTTTAAATTTCCCGCCTATTAATTGAAATGGCAACACTGCTCCTGTTAACAGGCATCTGTAAAGGCGCCCATTCACTATCCTGCCTGGCAGTCCCCCGTGCAGGACTGCAAAGCAGGATGTAGCCCACACAATATCCTGCAAGCCGTCCATCGTCTCTCACAGTAGTGTCAGAGTCGGTGTGTTGTTGTAATAATTATGGATTTACGTGTCGTTTCGAAAAAAAAAAAGAAAATAGCGATTCCGCTATGTTTTTTTTTGTTCTTAGATAAAAGTTTATATTAATAAATGACCTTTCCTCACATTATCATACTAATATACATAAAATTTAAGTATTAACATAAGCTTTTATCAAGTTAAACTATTGCAATATAAAATAGTTTTTTAGCTTAGTTTTAGTTATCACATCAGTCGCTTCCCGGGATGCACACGTTTTTTTTTGTTTAAAATAAAGTTAGGTACTTTATTTTAAACAAAAAAAAACGTGTGTAGATTTTTTCACACATGGGAATAAAATTTAATTCCTAAAAATATTTCTAAAAAAATTACCTCAAACAAAATTTCAATTGTAAATATGTACTGTCTAAATTTACGACAAAAAATTCCTAATTTAGCATCCGAATTTTCGTATAATTTAGCGCAATTTTGATAAGGGCTTAGTGCGTCTTTTTTTCATCATATGGCAGCACTGCCGCTATGCAGGACAGCCAAACCACTGATGCTCCTGCGCGGCGGACTGCAAGCGGTGGGCGGAGCTTGACCTGCAAGCTTGCATCCTGCAAGGCACGTCCTGTTCGGTGTTGCCAGAAACTTTGCAGGCCTGCAACACCATTCACAATCCTGCATAAAGCGGCGGACTGCACGGCGGACTGCCAGGCAGGATAGTGAATGGGCCCCTTTATCTGTAATCATCTAAATTAGAACAAGCTGTGTTCTTTATCTTGTTTTTAACAGACCTTTTGAGAAGATAATGGAAAAAACTGAATTTCGTGTGCTCATTAAGCATTATTTTTTGCGGAAAAAAACCTTCACTGCAACCAAGGCTAAGCTTGATAAATAATTATGGGGACTCTACACCATCCATTTCCATGGTAAAGAAGTGGTTTATTGAATTTCGATGAGGCCGTACAAGCACTGAAGGTGCCGAACGTTTAAGACGCCCTGTTGAGGTCTCTACACCTCGCGTGTAGAGACCTCGGCAGGGAATCGAAAAAATTCACGATATGGTATTAGCCGATGATTGAAAGTAAGAGACATCTTACATGGCTAAGTGGTTTCAATTTTGAATGATCACTTGGGTATTAGAAAGCTTTCCGCAAGATGGGTGCCGCGTGAGCTCAATGTCGACCATAAAAGCAATTTTGCAGGAATGTTTGGCGTTGTTCAACCACAATATGGACAAGTTTTTGCGCAGTTTCGTAACCGTGGACGAAACTTGGATCCACCACAACACACAGGAGACCAAACAGCAATCGAAACAGTTGGTTTCTCGGGGTGAATCGGCGCCAATGGAGGCAAAGGTGGGTTTGTCAGCCAATAAAGTTATGGCGACCGTCTTTTGGATGCACGCGGTATAATCCTCATTGACTACCTTCAAAAGGGGAAAACAATAATGGCGAATATTATATCTGCTTATTGGGTGGATTCAATGAAGAATTGAAAAAAAAACGACTGCATTTGGTCAAGAAAAAAAGTTATTTTCCACCAGGACAACGCAAGTGTGAACACATGGTCAGTTTCCATGGCAAAAATCCATGAATTTGGTCTACGAATTGCTCCCTCATCCACCCTATTCTCCAGATTTTACCCCTAGTGACTATTTCTTATTCCCAAACCTGAAGAAATGGCTCATTGGCAAAAGATTTGACTCAAACGAAGAAACCATCTCACAAACAAATGCCTATTTTGATAACCTCGACAAATCATATTTTTCGGAAGGGATAAAAAAATTGGAGAAACGTTGGATTAAGTGTATAGAACTCAATGTTCTATACACTTGAACTATAGAACTCAATGTATTTGCATCGGAGCAATGTGCGCGAAGACTGGAAACGCGTACGTCATAATAGGGCGACCTACTGTCTTGTATAAGGTCACCTTGTTCCGAAGGAACATTTTTGACGTTTTATTGAGAAGCAGATAGAAGCGACCGAGTACAAAGGCCGCCCGGTTCCTGACCTGGTTCACGTGCTGGGTGAATTTAAGCTGGGAGTCAAGGACGACGCCTAAAGCCCAAGGAAGGCTGTCCAAAAGTTTAACGGGGGATGCATTAGGTATATTCTTTTTATGTGGGAAAAGGACGGCCGCGCTTTTGCCGGGATTGATCTCGATCCTCCATTGCCGAAACCAGTCACCGATGGTGAGGGCCGCAGCTTGAAGGCGTCGATGGATTAATTCTGGTGTTCTGCCTGTGGTAAAGAGACAGGTGTCGTCGGCAAATGGTAAGTTCTATATCTTTGACACGCGGCATCTTTGATGATACCATCTGAGCCTAGCGCTTTGGGTGGACGTACATCGATGTCATAGATGGGCGAAACATATTGATAAATTAAAATATCGATATTATTTTTGAAAAATATTTATGTTATAAGTCGATACTTTTAATCTGGATGTTACGATATCCGAAATGTATATTTGAGTATTGAAATCATATCAATTCAATTTATTTTTAACGGAACTCTGCTTTGTCTTTAATGCTGCGGGATATTCCTTGTAGACTTCTAGAATGAATGAATGTATGAATAGAAAATAACATTCACTAAAATAATCAGTTATTAAAAGCCATAATTTTTTGGAAATAAAAAGATTAGTGGATGTTGTTTTAGTGAGCGATAAAGTCGCAGTTTTGACCTTATTTCTTCCTCTGGATAGATTTCACAATCGATTGCGGATCAAGTAAAGTTCAAATCTACATTTGATTGAGGCGTAGTGGATCGTGGTGCTTGTTAGTTGATTTTCCATCTTTTCTCTATAGGGCTTCGCAGGGTCGCAGTGGAGGGGACGGTTACATTTTTTTTTTCGTGCATTCCGTTGTTATTTCTGAATTCAATGATCGTATTCCTACGGACCTCTTCAGATGCGACGAAGCTGTCTGTAATTGTCAAGTCAAAGTCGCTGAACTACAGCCCGATTTACACTGGTCAAGTGTTTAGTGAAGTAGATAAGTACAAAGAGTAGGTACAGTGGTTTAAACCAACGGACAGTAGCACGCTACTTCAACTTGACTTGCAAGCTGCTATGCAACTAGACCCAAATAGAATCGCTTTCTATTTTGTGCACCTTGTGGCACTTGACTCGTCACTTTCCGTATTGTAAACAGTCAATTTAGTACAGTAGCCGGCAATAGGCAATAACATTGATATTTTTTTTTTGACGCTGCTCGTTCATTTCGACAGAGAAATGCCACTGCACTTAAAGTAGTGTAAACGATCACTTATCTTATCCGGCGCTCGCCAATGTTCACTGTACTTGTACTCTCTACGCGCCACTATCCTCAACTAATGGGTCTACCAGTAAGTGCTCGATTTAATTTCTAAAGATTATTCGAAATAGATTTGGTATATTGAATCGATTATAGGTACTCAGATCTGTATCTTTCTCATGAAGTCCATCCCTAACGATTATGTCATTCCATTACATTGAACACTAAAAAATCTAAAATATTCAATTCAAAGAATACTTATATTTATATCTGAAATACTTTATAAATAAATAAATCTGGATTGAATTATTCAATTCGGTACAAATACAAGCAGGAATAATCCGTAAATCCGGTAAATCCGTAACTCTGTTGTCAGAACTGAGAAGTATATTAATTCTATTTGGTTTAATACAATGGGTATTAAAGAAGCCACTATTTACTTAGACAACGATTTAAATACTTACTATGCTGGTCAAACTGTAAATGGGAGAATAGAATATGTTTTCGACAAACCAAAAAAAGTTCGTGGTAAGTATTTTTGTATGACAATATTTATGTATGAGTCACTATAAGACCGTGTCTATAGATAGAGATAATTATGTCCATAGGATATCTGTGTAATCATATTAATTTTATCTCACCTAACTCTTTTTAGTCTTGAGACAAACATTTTTTTTGTATGTCAGGTAAATAATACTATGTGAGCTTAAATTGTTTAATTTCATTTATATCAAAGTGTAAAATATCTCTAAATATATTGAGAAGAACTTGAAATTTTATAATTAATAATTTGTTACTTTTATGTATAACTAAACCAATATTTTTTATTTGTTTTTAAGGTATTCATGTCAAAATTAAAGGAGAAGCTCATACTGAATGGTCTGAAAGTAAAGAAGAACAAGATAGCCAAGGCAAGACACAAGTAACTGATACCACTCATACTGGAAATGAAGAATACTTTCAAATATCTTATTACCTACTTGGAAGCAATTCTGGTAGATATATACTATGTTGTTAGTAATAACATGCTTTTATTGTAGGAGTTTTATGCAACTTCTACTGTTAAACAAATGTACAAGGGATAATATTAATAAAATTAAAACAATAATTTCAGGAAATGAAATAGAAATCCCTGCTGGTAAACAAGTATATAATTTCACTTGTGCTTTACCACCAGTGCTACCATCATCTTTTGAGGGTCAATATGGGTATGTTAGGTATACTATCAAAGTAACTTTGGATCGTCCTTGGAAATTTGATCAAGAGACCAAAATAGCATTCACTGTTATCAACACACTGGATCTCAATCTTAATCCCTCTTATAAAGTAAGTTCTTTGTTTTTGTCTCATCATGTATTCTAAAATTACAGCCAAAACACGTTAGTGTTATTTAAGTATTGTTATAACATTTTGAAAATAATAAAGCAGTTGAGACTAAAACCAATAATTAAAAAATACACATATTTATATCTAAAAAAAAAACAACAGTTTCAATAAGTATCTAAGTTTTAGTATATTTATTATTGACAAACCTAACCTCATTAAAGCATCAGTTTCAAAACATCCCTTTTTAACTTATCCTTATTAAAGTGGAAAATATTAATTAAGTAAAATTTATTATTATAATCTTTTTTTAAACAATTCATCAGATAGTTTTGTGCACAATTTGTTATTGATTTAATAACCACAACCAAAGAGATATGTCTCGTTCTATGTTTCTGAGTACAAAAACCGAGGACTCTATCAGCTAAAGTTGTGTGGCTCTACCACAGTTGAAGATATATAAGGGCTTCTGGTATTCGTTGTATTTTTCCAAAATTTTATTCATTGTGTGGATGTGGTCTATTTTACTGAAATTATTTCTGAATCCCGCCTTTTCTATTGGTTACCTTTCATCTATTCTTTTTATTCATTCCTGAATTACTTTTGCAAAAGCATTGTCCATGTTTCAAATGAAGCTTATTTGTCTATAGTTGCTGATGTTATCCTTATCTCCTTTATTATGGGGCGTGTCTGTTATTAAGATATCTTGAATAGCTTGGTTAGAATTGGGCTTATTTCATGTATGGTGCTTCTCATTACCTCATTTGTTACATTATCAGGTGCTGGAAATCAGAATGAAATACTCCTAAGGCTGCCTGAGATGGTTCCCACAGATATGATTCCATAAATCTTAAGATTTTACCTTATATACCTAGCTCAAATAGCTAATGTAGTGTGACATAACATGAAAGTGTATAAACTCATTCCAGTTTCAGTCAAATAAAATTATGAGGAACAAAAATTATTCACAATATTAACATAGCCAACAATATAATGTTTATTGAATTTGTGTTATATAAAATAACACAAATTCAATAAACATAATATTGTCATATTAACAACTGCATAGATTCTGGAATATTTCCAGTTCTTAAGAAATTTAGTAAGATAGTACCTGTCTACAAAAGTGATGATAAAAATGATCCAGGCAACTATATACCTATTTTCCAAGTTTTTGAAAAACTAATTTTAAATCAACTTTTAGTTCATTTTAATATGAATAAAATCTTTCACAATGAGCAATATGGATTCACTAAAGTCATTCGACAACAGATGAGGGTGTCGCACTTTTCAAACATATTCATAACACCTGGGAAAGGTCACAAGATGCAATAGGTGTCTTTTGTGACCTTTCAAAAGCCTTCGACTGCATAGACCACAAAACTCCTTCAAAAGCTAGAATATTATGGCATTCGTGGCATCGCCCTCAATCTCATTGCCTCTTACCTTAGTAAAAGAATTCAAAAAGTGTCCCACAAGGATCGATCTTGGGCCCATTATTATTTTTAGTATATATTAATGATCTCCCCTTTTATGCCAGTGGGTTGTGTGATGTTGTACTGTTCGCTAATTTTTAAGGTTGACCGAAACGTATTAAATTATGACTACGTGAATAGTGCACTTTCACATATCCTCCACTGGTTTACTATTGATATGGTATTAAATGCCAAAAAAACAGTCAGAAATCTTCAGTTATTTTCACATCATCTTGTCGTACGGCATTTTGTTGTGGAGTAGTGCATCTGATATAAATTTTATATTTATTCTTCAAAAAAGAGCTGTCCGAGCAATCTACAACATCGGAGCCCCGAATTCACTCAGACATTTTTTAAAGAGGTTAATATACTCACTGTTTTCAATACATTTATTTTAATATTTTGTATATACTTCATAACCTTAATTATTACCTAAAGAATAGTGACAGACAAAATAAACACTAGAAATAAGGACAAACTTACTATGCCATTGTTTCATCTACAAAAATGTATAATAAAATCCCTCAGTCGATATTAAGTCTGCCGCTTGACCAATTTAAATGTAAAATCAAAAGTCAACTTATGTTTAAAGCATATTATACCATTGCGGAATATCTCGACGACTCCAATGTGTGGAGTTAATACTGCTGATACTCACGTAGGCTAGAATAAGACTATTATACCTGTATATTATATTTTAAACTGATACTTTTAAAAAAGGGCAACTGTTGAGTTTCTTGCCGATCTCTTCTCAACAGAAACTGCTTTCTGAACCAGTGGTACCTTATGAACCTATATACATAATTTTTAATTTAAAATTTGACGATTCATAAGGGCATGCAAGCGTCTATTTTATGATTTAATTTATTGTTTTTTTTTCATTGCTTTTCAGGAACCAATACACATGCAAATGGAAAAAACATTTTGTTGTTTCTGTTGCACTTCTTTGCCCTTATCAGTTGATGTGAGAGCGCCAGTATCTGGTTATTGCCCAGGACAAGTGATTCCACTCCAAGTTGATATTGATAACAAGAGTAATGTGCAACTCAATCTTGTCAAGATATTTTTGAGAAAAGTACATAATTTTTTTCAATTATATATACTTACTAAGAGTTTACTGGTTGTCTAGGCTTTACTATATCTTTTCCACATCTTCTAATGATAAACAAGATAGAATTAAGATATTCAATTTGTATTCAGTTAAAATGTGGTTGTAATATCCAATGTTAAGCCAACAAACATAACATCAGCCCAGGCTCTACTTCGAAAGAATAATACATGTCAGTGGGTCTGCCACCGATAAACCTTAGATTACAACACACATGTAATCAAAGAATAATGCAATTTCCTTTTAATGGAATAAAGAATGTTAATTTTACTATAAGTAAACTAAATCTGGATTCAAACTAATGTTTATATTAATTTCCAGGTTGTCACATACAGAGCAACATCACCTTCAACTGTGACTAAGAAAACAAAGGATATTATATTAACATTACAGCAAGGTCCAGTGGATGTTGGCTCAACGAAACAATGGAATTTAACCTTGGAAGTACCACCGGTGCCTCCATCTAATCTTGTCAATTGCAATATAATTGATTTGGATTATGATTTGAAGGTATTTTAACACCATACTTTCTACACATATGTATAACCAGACCACCAGTGCGTGAAGACATGCAAATATTATTTAATTTGTCTGTTTCGTTTTCGGAGCATTCCTTAACAGTAAGAATTAAAGTAATAAGGCTTCCTCTGTGCAGAGGTTATAAGGCACGACAAGGCCGCCATGGCAACGTATTACGCACTGGCAGACTTGACACATCCTCAAAATATTTTTTTTATTCGGCACTTATAATTGCATTGGTACACCAGGATTTCAATTCAATAACAGAATATATTACTCTATTCTGCCCGGGAGCATCACAACCTACTATTACCCAATATAGGTTATCAACTGTACAGTATGACTACAAAGGCGGCGATCACTGCTCCATGCTATTATGTCAATTATCTTAAGTGCTCCACTGGATTATTTTATTATGAGTATTATTCACCATTAAGTAGCCGAGCATCCATCGACTTCCCGCACATTTGCACAGGTCGTCACTCCATCTAGTGGGGGGTCGTCCCACACTGCGATGTCCAGTACGAGGCTGCCACTCGAGAACCTTTCTTCCCCAACGGTTATCGGTTCTACGAGCTATATGGCCGGCCCATCGCCACTTCAGCTTGCTAATCCTCTGAGCTATGTCGGTTACCTTGGTTCTACTGCGGATGTCTTCGTTACGAACTTTATCACGCAGAGAAATACCGAGCATAGCCCCCCTGCGGGAAGTCGATGGATGCAGGTGGCTCAGGATCGTACTGCGTGGCAGTCTATGGGGGAGGCCTATGTTCAGCAGTGGACTCAAACAGGCTGAAATGATGATGATGATGAAGTAGCCGAGCATGGCCATGTTATTGTATGAAATTTTGTACTATTCCCACATAAAAGAATACAGGTAAAAAGCATTACTTGAAGAGTTTTCTCTAAAAGTTCTCCCAAATTGCTATTAAGCTTTTGGTTCTTTTTAAACTTTCTCAACATGTAAGACGTATATGTGTTTATAAGATTAATAACGTTATTTTGTAATTATTTTGTAGGTGGAATGTGAAGTATCAGGAATGCACTTTAATATGAAGGATAAGAAGTATATAACTATTGGAACTGTTCCATTGGTAGGCATGAGCGGACAACCCGTTCCATCAGCGCCAATGCCAGACGGTTTTCCCCAGAACCAGCCTGCAGTGTTGCCTGTGAGCCCCGGACAGCCAGCTATGCTACCGAATGTATGCACATTTTAACATTAATAAAAATTTTTATGGTTCGCATCCACGGTGCAACTATTCAAGAGACAAGCAAATCGGGATCAGAAGGCGATTTGATCGTGTTGCGAAGTTGTGTCAATAGTCATACTCTCTCCCCTAATATACCTTCCACTGTGTAATTATTTGGACGAACTTCGGAAGTTTTCAAATTTTGCGTGTACCAAACAATTTTATGTATGTGAATGTGGCACATATAGGCTGTTAGTAGGCTGTTAATGAAACATTTAAATAGTAAAAGGTAACAGCCTATATGTGCCACTGCTACGCCTACTTTGTACGTAGTCCACCACGCGATCCCACTGCGGATTGGCTTTCACATAACTTCGAAATATTTATTATTTCAAAAATATAAAGGTTTCCTGACGATGTTATCCTTCACCGCGGAACACGTTATAAATCAGCACTTAAAATTAAAAAAAAAATATTTTGCTCGACTATATTGGATTAAAACCGAGCGCCCGGGTAATGGGCTATCACGGATAAATTTTATTAATTATTTAAAAGAAACACACGCTTTATATTATTTGTTCTATAATATAGGTACCATTAGGACCTAATGGCGACGTAGCTCCGGGTGGTTGGGTATTGCCCGGTTCAGTACCTGGCCAACCGCCGCATCAATCATTATACCCTACCCTAAGTAAGTAAAACAGTTGACTTTTTGTCTGTATTAGTTAGTTCTTTGTTTAATGTAATACTGATCCAGATATTAGATTACGTTACGTTAAGCGGAAGTTGTCTTAGGATCGCGAAGATTCCGTCGCCTATACACCGGGGTCGTGAGATCCATGACCCAGTACGGTGCTCCCGTCTGGGCCTACACCCTGAATCGCTGGTACATGGTGCTTCTGCGCAGACCGCAGAGGGTGTTGGCTATACGGGCCATACGGGGCTACCGGACAATATCCGGTGAAGCGGCGTGCGCGCTGGCAGGTTCCCTTCCCTGGGACCTAGAAGCCAGTGTCCTCGCGTCACTGCACTTCTGACGCGAGGAGGCGATAGCCCGGGACCACCTGCCGCCCTTAGAGGAGTTGAGGGGGTGTAGACTAAGGTTACGCTCACTCGCTGACACCGAGTGGGAGCAGAGGCTGGAGCACCCCCGTGACGGTCTAAGAACCATAGAGGCCATACGTTCGGTACTCAGTCGGTGGCTGGACAAACGTCACGGCACCCTCACCTACCGGGCTGTTCCTGCAGGTTCTCTCGGGACATGGCTGTTTTGGGAGGTACCTGTGCCGCTTGGCGGGGAGGAAGCCAACAGCGGTTTGCCACCACTGCTACGTTTGTGCCGAGGAGACGGCCCAACACGCATTGGAGGAGTGCTCAGCCTGGCGGAAGCAGCGACGAGAGCAGATAGCTATCGTGGGGCACGATCTCTCGCTACCCGCCGTGGTCCGCCCTATGGTGGACAGCGAGAGTTCGTGGGGTGCCGTCCTTGCATTCTGCGAGGACATAATCACCCGGAAGGAGGCCGCGGAGAGAGAAAGGGAGGCAACTGCCACCCTGGAAATCCGCCGCCGGAGACCAGGGCGCAGGAGGCTGGCCTACGCGAGCAACCTTCCCCCCTGATAGAAAGCCCCGGGGCGGGACTTTCGACTTGCGATGTGGGACTAACTGCTGCCCCGCGGAGGGCTTGAGAGGGGTGCCGTGTTCATTGCACCGACACGGCACCATTTGGCTGGACCGGGTGTCCCTAACACCCGGGGGAGAGAAGGCCTGAGAAGGCCACAGTCGCGCCGGGGCTCGCGGAACATCGACGGGCGACAGCGCAGGTGCAACGTGGGTTTTTTAGTGGGTACCGTGTAACTCCCACATACCCCACTGATGCCTACCCACAAGGCGGCGGGATCCATTAAGGATTTTTCCCACGTAAAAAAAAAGGGTCGCGAAGATTTACGAGAAAGAGCATAAAAACTTTTCCGAGGTTTTATTTATCTCTGTACCACAATTACAAAGAAGCATTTAATTATAACAACGATTAATAATTCCTTTGTTGTATAATATTTTTTTTGTAAACCTTGAACAAGTATTAAAATTTTATTTTTATTTTTAGCTAGTCTCTGCACTTCATATATTGTCAAAAAATTTTACTACAATAATTTATCTACAAAATGTGTAGTAATGTGTAGATAAATCGTCGATAAAATTTCCTCGACTGCCAGGATACGATACGCGGTTATTGTTGTCGGCACAACTAAAACGTTAATCTGTTCATTGCAGCTGAACCAGTGTACAAGGAATCTCCATACGCCGCTCGAACTATCCAAGACCGTGGTGATAGTAACTACGTTAACATAGCAGGCCCGGCCAACTTCGCACCATATTACCCAACCTATGCGTCTGTGCAACCTCCGCCATTGCCGCAGTAAAATTAATTCATGATGAAAACTCCATCAATAAAGCCGTTTTGACACTATCAAAGTTTTCCTATCTAGGAAATTGTAGCTTTCATAAGTTTATTCGACGCCAGTTGAAAGTTAACAAAGCTCACCTGAATAATTTTTCTCAGTCTACAAGCAGTCTAGACCGAAGATGCTAGTTGGATAGATTTGATAATTGACGTCAGTACATATGTTTAACCTTGAAGAATTCAAACCGAAACGAAGAATGCGACTAAAATTCAGTTTAATACGCCGGCAGGGTTGCCGAAGCTTATTTATTAAATTCCCCAATAATCTAATTCATATTTCCAAACTTGGGGAGAAAGTGCCGAGTCTCAAAACACAAGTCAACAACTTTCCTCAAAAATTTTAAGACGTGAAATAAAGTTTTACTTCACTACACCTTTTTCAAAATTTTCATTCAAAGCATTTTCCTCAATGACTGCCATTGTTTGTTCAATTAAACTTTGGTCGTGTCCTAACGGCTATGTGATATAATTCAGTCCAGTAATATGATAGTGTATTTAATGTAAGCAATTTAATTAATGGGAATTTTCCTAACTATATTGGGGAATATGGACTTGCTTTGATATAGTTTTATATTTTAAAATTATACTCGAGGTGATTTTTAAACTAAACCCATATAATTAATGTTATTCAGTATGATAGTGTTTATGCTATGCACAATTTTTTGGTCTTCCGTTATTATTATTGATAACAAACCATATATATTATTAATATTAAATGGATATTTTGCCATTTAATCAATACTAGGAATTCATTGGTGTATGTATCAGTATCAGTGCTAAAAATAATGCTTGAGTTGGCTTGCTTTTTCACATCTTTATGCTTAGGTATGCATTTGTTTTTTTTTATAAATTAATTTTTAAATAATTTCTTTAAGGCTATTGCCAAGATTTATAGACGGATGTAGTAAGGCCTGTCAATCAAGTTTTATACCTACATTATTGTTATAAAAAATCACTAGAATGAGATTAAGGATTGTCCACTGTATCCATCTAGGCAAGAGTCTTTAATGCAAATTCTTCACTTTTCTGATCCTTTTTTGTTTTGTTTATATTGTTATTGGAAATTGTTTAAGTTGTAACAAAATTTTCGAATTAAAATTATTGTCATGAAATTGTGAAACAAGGAGATATGTAACATGAATCTCTTATTTTTTTCAGTGATGTTAAACATCTTGAGTGTCATTGCTTTTTATGAAAATTTATGACTTTATACATAGGTATTTAACTCTTATTTAAAATGTTGATATTTTAATATATTAAATATACCTACATGTAACTGTTTAACACGCTGTTTTATTCAATTTACTTTTTATTATAATAATATTTTTTGGATAAAATCATGTGGTGAATTAATTATTGCTACCATTGCCCTTTAGACTAGCGTTGCGCATATAACGTTTTTGTATGAAGACATTACCCAAACATGAGCTCTGTACATCTTTAGATTTCTTCAAAAACAATTTTTAACTGTAATCCCCAGTTTTAAGTTTGTTTAGAACATACAACGAACTTACTAATTTACACAGTATAATTATAGTTATACTTAGTTTAAAAAATAAATAAAAATGTATATTTTGACACAGCCTGCACTATAATTCCGAAATTTTTTTACAGAGCAGCATTATGATATGTAGGTCTCCTATTATAACAGTGTTATAATAGGAAACCTACATATCATCGCAGAAAACATTCAAAAAAGTAGATCCTCAATTTGGTTGATTTGAAAATTCTAATTGAATTGGGTTCAGTTTAACTATAGAAAATGAATAATGAGTTTGAAATTGAAATCAAGTTTTGTTTTTTGTTGCTAGTAATGACTACTGTTGGAACTATTTTATTACAAGTATAAGGGAACATGTAGATGTGTGATGGGGCATATTTTTAAATAGAAACCTGGTCATTTTACTGCATGGCCTTCTACTCCACAATGGGCTCGCTCGTCCAGGGAATATTGGTAATATCATGTAGCGTTTTGTCTGACGTGCGACATAACTGGAGCTCATTTATAAAGGTTGCCAGTCCTAAATGTTAACATAAAGCGAGGAGCTTGCTATCTCATGTGAAAAAAATCAGGGCCACCTTCTTAATTCCTGCCTAACCTTAAATCTCTTTGGGTCAATTATGAATTGAGTAATTTCTATGTTGCTATATTAAGTTTCATTTACCACCAGATAAGGAATCAATTCCAATAAAAAAAGTGATTTATGTTTTAAGCGGTACTTAAGAGATAACTTAAAATACAATGAACAAACTAGTCAGATACTTTATTTTTCATACATACTTGTTATTGGAGAGGTAAATTGTTAAACAAATAATGATGATATAAATGAAATTAGCTTTGTGAGATTGGTTCAGCATTAGGTATTTTATATTTCAGAACAACGTTCAAAGCAATGAAAATATGTCTTAAAAATTTAGTAAAAAACGTATAAAGTTTGGCGAAACTTTTTCATTTTAATGTCATAATAAAATAAGAGACAGTACATTTCTAAAGAATGAGTGAATACAGGTTCCCGTTCCCTAAGATAGTTTTTGAAGTGTTTCGTTATAACGATTCCGAGGATGACAGTTTGAAATACATAGATATGACGTCCTAATGATTCACAAACATACATTTACTATATGAGAAACTATTTACGAACATTATCATCGCACTGACACTTGCGAATTTAACGATTTTCCAACGTTATCGTCGCTCGAACGTACTAGTTCCATCCCTGTATATGTCGAAAGGTTTTAGCGTCGTGCGTCGGAATTGGGTGCGTACGCTCCGCGGCGTGACGCGTGCCGTTCGGTGTCCGTCGGCCGGCGTCGGTTGGCGGGCGCTCGGCCCCGCGCGCCTGCGAGCGTCGCTCGTGGCGGGGCGCGCGTTGCTCCGTTGCTCCCGTCAGTGGCGCGTCCGCTTCCACCGCGGAGTGGGGTCTGATGCGTTGCGCTCCGCCCACCGCTCTCAGTACTGGCTGCAGCGCGCTCGGAACCCGCCCTGGTACGTGGAGTCCTGCGACAGCAGCCCGTCCGGCTGCGAGGGGCAGTCGGGCGCGGCGGACTCCTGGCTGAAGTCGGGCTGCGACGCACCCTGCGAGAGCGACAGTGGCGGCTGCTGCGAGAGCGGCTCCTGCGAGAGGCGAGGGGGGCGGCGTTTGGTGCGCGGCGCGGCGTGCTGCGGGAAGGCGGCCGGCGGCACGCCCACGTTGGGCGCCACGCGCGCCCCCACGTACGCCAGCGGGTCGCGGGGCGGCCGCGCCCGGTCGTAGATGGAGCCCGGCACCATCGCCTCCCTCGCGTCGAACATGGACGTCGACATGAAGTGCGAGCCCGGGTTCTGCGCGTTCACCAGCTTCTTCGGCTTTGCGAACTGGATTGCGGACTCCTTCAGGTTGGAGAGCGGCCCCTCCGTGAGCACGCGCCGCTCCTTGTAGAAGGCCAGCAGGTGATTCCACAGCGGCTGCTTGCTGAGCACCTTCGGGTTACCGACCACGATAAGTCCGTATTTGGCGCGGGTTAGAGCGACGTTCAAGCGCCTAGGGTCACTCAGGAAACCGATTCCCTGATGCTCGTTCGAGCGGACACACGACATGATTATTATATCCTTCTCTCGTCCTTGAAATGCGTCAACGCTGGCCACTTCGATCTCTTGATAAAGCTTAGCGTGCAAGCTCCCTTGGTATTGCATATGTTGAACGAGGTAAGATCGCTGACCCTCATAAGGAGTGATGATGCCAATTTGCTCAGGACGGACGCCAGCTTTCAGGAAACGAGTCGTCAGCTTTTCAACGTTAGCAGCTTCGGTACGATTCAAATAAGACGTTCCAGATCCAGCGATTTCTTCTTGCCCCTGAGTCACGTAAAAGAACATCGGACGGTCTGGTCGTGGCCAGGGAAAATCAATTTTGTGGAGCCTCCTGTCCTCAGCGCTCACGCCGTTCTGCAGCGACCCTTCGTAGAAGAAGTCGGAAGGGAAACGCGACAGCTCCGGGTGCATACGGTACTGCACTTCCAGGCGGAACGGACGGATGCCGAGAACCACGAGACGCTCGAAGAGGCTCTGGCTCAGGCCGGCCTTCGCGGCCTTCTTGCACATCACTACCGGCCCCAACTGGCAGTGGTCGCCGACGAGGATGAGCTGCCTCGCGCCGAGGACGACTGGCACCATGCACTCGGGCTCCGTAGACTGCATCCCCTCGTCGATGAGGATCGACTGGAAACGCATCCGCGCCACCCGCGGATCCCCGGCGCCCACGCAGGTGGTGCAGACGACGTCGGCCGCGTCCAGAAGCCTCCTCTCGGCGGCTCGACGCAGCGCCCGGTATCGTCTCTCGTCCGCTGCAGACAGCTCGCCGGCTTCCTCTTTCAATCTGGTCAGCTTCCGGAGCTCGCTGTCTGCCGAGCCGAGGGCGCGCGCCTGCTCGTGCAGCGCCAGAAATGAAACAGAGGACTCCATCGCTTCACGCGACTTGGCGCACAAGCGGACCACCTTCAGCCCCGTCCTGTGTATCTTTTCGGTTAGCTGGTCCACGGCCGTGTTGGAAGGCGCGCAAACCAGCACCGGCCCGCCGCTCTGTCTGACAAGTTGGTATACGATCGTGGCAGATGTAACAGTTTTACCTGTCCCCGGGGGACCTTGAATCAGGGAGAGAGGACGTTGAAGTGCATGTTTAACGGCGTATACCTGTAAAAATCAAAGCAACATTAAACAATGTAATTACAATAAAAAATATCTATTAAAAATACTATGATTAAAATATTAATCTTTCTTATAAGCAATATTTTTAAAATAATATAACATATTATTATATCATAACATCACATCATAACATCTTTTGGATTTTATTAACTTTCATTTGGAGTCGAGAAAACAAAAATCCGTGTGTGCAGCAGACCCACAATTACTTTAAATAAACAGCATATGTTTACCTTATATGTATACATAACAACAAATTATGTAAATTTTTGTTTTCAAATAGTTGCAATTAAGAACCTGAGAGCGGTTGAGGTCCGGTAAATTGGGAGCACTGAAGTGTTTCGGCAGGTGAACACGAAACAGAACTTCTTCAACTTCATGGCCGAGAAGGCGACGGTAGATGTAACCGGACACCGACGAGTCATCAACAGCGAACTTGCGAAGTGCTTGCTGCATCCTAAAATTCATGCATATTATTAGCGATGCATTACATATAAGTATCATTGGGATCGTAAAAACAACTACATACCGATCAAACGAGGTACTCTTCCAAATGAAGTCCACCACAAAGTTGGAGGTGCATTCAAGCGGCGCTCCTGCGCCACTCTTCAATTCAAGGCCCACGTCATCGCCATAGTTATCAGGCACTTTGATAACATGGCCAACACCTGACCATGTTTTATGCAACTCGCCAACATATCTGAAAAAAAAAAACAAACGTGGTTCATGATAATGTAACGAAACTAAATATAAGTAATAAATAACGAAATAATACAGGCTAAAGGCAATATGTTGGAAATTTTATTCTGAACGTAAAAACATTATTTTTATATAAAAATATTTTACCTCAATCGTAGTTCATCTCCATGCATTAGTTTCATGTCACTGTCTGTTTTTGCAAGGGTGAAATAAGCAATGGTCTTCTTGTTCAGTCCAACATCCCAACGGACTTCTATTCCTTCCTGGGTCTGGGATTCCTTGAGTCTTTTGTCATAATCAGCTTCCAATTTAACCAATGGACCAAATATGTTCTGGTATTGATAACCATCCTCATACCTTAATAAATATAAATGTTATGAATTTATAAAAATATTTCAAACAATTTTATTTTTCTAGACATTTAACAAACTATGTACACTATGTTAGATTAATAATATCACAAAGTAAAAATCTCTTATGCAACTTATGAGCATTGGAAATGGAAATGAAGTTTGGATGAAAATTTATTGTGTGAGTTTTAGCTGAATTGCCATTAAAACAAATTTTTACCTTAGAAGCACTTGATGAGGTTCCTCATCTACACCTGGTTTTTCTAGGTCTTGAAATGTGGCATCAACATTGTCACGCCACAACTCTTCAAGTCTACCTATTTGTTGTGGGGTAACCTGTAAATATAATTTTTAGTGTTTAGTTATGGTGCATGATGGGTTAATTGAATTAGTTTTATTGGAGTAAAATTTCTGAGTAGAAAATCCATATACAAATGGCAGAAGGAATGCACGAAAAAATTGGACAAAGATGAATGGATGATGATCATGGAGAAAATACAATAACTTACATAGAAATTATTATTATTATTTTTTTTGGTTACTTTTCTTTTTCTTTGATTGAGATGATTGATAATTGATGATGTATGTGGTACTTGTACAATTTAAGTTGCTGTTAATATTGTATTATTTTTAGTGTGAGACTGTGCTAGTCATAGCAAGCAATGCATCAACTGATGTTAAGTAAAATTTACACAGGCCCCACACAAGGCGCGATTTGTGCTATGGGGGATATTATTATTTTTATTACTCACTTGACGAGCTCGCATTTGTTCAGTTTCTGATGGTACTTTTACCAACCATGATAAGAATGCACGGTCAGCTGAAACATTAAAAAATTAACATAGGTTCTTGCTGAAATAAATAATTCAAAAAAATGTATATATGAATATGAAATGTCTTACAAATTAGTGGTTTCCACTGTTCCTGATCCCAATTCATATCCTTCAAAGAACTTTGCGCTGCACATGGCTGGCTGAAAATATTGAATTTATTTATAATCAACAGAAAGTGATTTTATACACTAAGAAAAACTATTAATCTTATAAAATCAATGATATATTTTTCTTCACTCATTTATAATATCTGTTTATTTTCTATACACAATTATAATCAGTGACTATATTTTAAGATATAAAGCATTTTTATTAAATTTATCTCACTACCAAACACTACTATAGAATTTTTTTAACGATAATGTCTTATATTTAGTGTTTTAATAAATTTTTAAATGTTCTATAAAATTATACTGAAATACTTTTTGACCTTGAAACTATTTAAAAAATACAATCCAGAAGTACTCTATTATTAAATATTTACATAATTTATTTAATTATATCACTTGTACTTTTTCCTACTTACTGCATTAAAATATATGAATAGAAGCAAAATAATTTGCATTTAGTTCTTACCGACAAAGCAACACGACAACAGAGTCTGCTTTAGCAGGTATGAAACCAAGCACAAAGACATTGCGAGCCCCACAGGAGTAGCACTCCAACAATGTTTCACCCAGGGGCCCATCTCTATGCAAAGCGGCTTCCTTGTGCTTAGCCCTTACCAAATGGTTGATAATATGGGATCCAGATGTATTACCACGTCCATTGCAAAACCTATGTAACAAAAGATACCATGTAAGTAAATTTTGATATGACTATATTCAGTTATCAAATTAGAGAACTTGACATTAATGCAAAAATATTTTCAACAGATACACGGAAAAGAAATTTACATTATAATGCACTTTCAGAAGAATTATAAGTCTTTGGTTATTTGAAAACAGTCATAAAAATAATTTTTTGAAACTATTATTAGGGTTTCAAATTATAGTAATGTTAATTACCTATAAGACATATAAGACATGTAAGAAATGTCTTATATAATTATTATTTAAAATAATTATCTATTAATTATTAATAGATATTTGTGAAACATTATGTAAAAAATGATTTGACCAAACAAGTACTTTCTCTTCAAAATTAATCAAAATAAGTACCTTATATCAAAACAAGTATCGAGTACCGGCTTTTATCGGATCATACCTACTCCATAATGAATGGATGTTCTGTTTGATACATTTTAGACTAAATTTTATAATCATTTACATAAAAAATCATACATATTTACATCTATAAGAATAAAAAACATTAATCTCCTTCTTTCCTCAGTTATAGATATGCAATATATTTTTATATCATGAGTACTGTATATTAGGGTATAGTATGTTACTTATCGTAACTTATAGCATTATTAGTTACAATTAGTAACATACTTCATATAATAATTTTTGCTTATTTTAAATGATATAATGCCCTTGCCACTTCACCTTCGTCCTGAATTTTGATTCAATATGTGGTATTGATACTTAATATTAAAAAATCAGTTAATCATATTAATTTGGTAAATCATAGTTATCTGTATTGTACTGTGGATTTATTTTTCATGTGCTGTAATGCTTACCATTTATTGCATATATTACACATAACCACTGTGGCTGGGTCATGGATGCCGCAATACTTGCAGGCATGTTCAGGCAGCTCTTTACTGCCATATAATGCCTCATCTTCTTCTTCAAACTGTAGTTCTGCTATAGCATTAGCAACGCTACTAACTTTCGAATTTAGGTCAGGGCGCCCCAATCCGTTGATCTGTTAATCCCAAAAATTACATGAATTATAAAACATTAATGTCATTGTCAAAGAAGGTTATGAAAAGTGCAAGTCGCTGCCACTTTACCTGATTGGAGGCACTCAAACCATGGTCGTGTTGTGATGCCTGAGTTTGACTTTGGGAAGGTAGTGTAAAATCCGTGAATTCAAACTCGGAGCCCTGTGTATCTGCGCCGATAAGATCAGCTTCTTCGGTATCCAAAAACGTAAGCGTTTGAGAACTGGGTCCATATGCGTCGACGCTCATTGTTATAAGATTTGTTTAGGATGATGAAATGATTAAAATGTCTCAAAAAGAAATAATAATGCACGGTTAAACGAACATCCCATAACAACTACGTAATAGTCAAACGTGTTGCCAAAGATGATGTTGATGATCAAGAAAGTTCGCCATGTTAACAGTAACTTAACACATGGTTTGTTTCCGTTTACAATGTCAGCAATTATTGGTTATCTTAAATATAAAGACAGGAACGCACCAATTAGAATTCAATGATAATTTTTACAACCAATAATATTAAATAGATATAGAGTTGTGAAATAGTTTTCGTAATGAGACAAATGTTCCATTCGTACATCCAAGGTTACTAATTCTTTATGATTAAATGTTTTCATTTCGAGTATAAGTAAAGTAATTAAATAAAAAACGTAGAACAAGTCAACAGTTTATAGGAAAGGATAAATAAGCTTGACTAGAATCTAGGAACAAGAAATGAAACCACAAGGAATACTTTAAAATATATCTTTTTTATAAACCATAAATTTACTAAAATAACAAATTATGTATGATGTATGGGACCTCAACTTAAATATTTTTTCATTCTGTTTTTTAGTATTTGTTATTATAGCGGCAACAGAAATACATCATCTGTGAAATTTTTCAACTGTCTAACTACCATGGTTCACGAGAGACAGCTTGGTAAAAGAGGGAACGAGACACAGCGGAGTCTCAGTAAAAGGGCCCCGTTTTTTAAGGCTCTATACCCAAAGGGTACTTTGGGTATAGAGCCTTAAAAAAGGAAATATAAATAAAAAAAACATGTTAAAATTCTATGTGGAATATGTACTTTTCGGGAGCACGGTCGAAATATACATATTGGTTTTACAATTCAGCAGAATTTCATTATATTCTTCTTTACATTAGTAAGAAGTGACTCCACTGTGGAAAGAAAATCTAGAGGTCGCTCCAATAGAGCGATGCAACACATAGCATTACCACTTGATTGGCTAAAAGTCAATAATTTCAAAATAAACTCGTGAGCACATCCTCAAAAAATGTCCATAGTTAATTATTAAAGTATATTAATATATATATTTACATGAATATATTTCGTCATCATCATAATCTTTATTTCAGCCTTTTTGAGTTTGCAGTTGAATATAGGGTTCTCCCACAACCTGACACGAAGCACGATCCTGAGCTTATTTTTTTTTTACGTGGGAACTTCCGTTATGGATATCCAGCTTCCCACATAGGGGAAGCCAGATTATGTCAGCCATTAAACCTCACGGTGGTCGCCATCAGCTTTCATGGGGGGTCACGGGATCTCCATTTGGAACACTACCGCGGCTCCCCTTAACGTAACCCCCTCGTCGCGGTAACATAATTTCCACCACAATGGCTTGAACCAACTTCAAGCCATTGTCACCCTTAGGTTCGATTTACTGAGCTATAAAAGCCAGTAACGAGGTGTACCCTCACTTTGGTGACCCCACGGCAGTCACATCACCGACAGACAAGACTATTGGTAAAGATAGGTTTCGTCCAATATAGCTTACCAGGATACTCCGTTTTCGTCTCCCACGCTGGGCACACCACCAGGGTATGCATTGCGGAGTTCTGGTAGCTCCCACCGTAGTAGAAACAATTCGACGTCGCCTCACGTCCGATTTTGCACAGATCAAACACCAAAGCATCCATGCCCAGTGATTATCTGTGTAAATATATAAATAGGTGAGTCTACCTTCCCGTCGCTGCAACCAGGCTTTGAAGACTGGTAGGATATCTTCCACAACTCGTATTGTTCTTGGCTGAGCCGAGCGCGCCAGGCCAAGAAAGCAGAATGCCGTTCTACCACTCGCTACCACTACTCTAACGAAGGGCACGAATTCGGTGGTACACCCTCGCGTCCATTTTCGCCAGTATTTCCAGATGTGCAAAGCGAGCCAGGACAGTTACCGCCCCAAAGGATATGGACACTTTAAAACTTAAGACGTTGGATGGTGAGTCTTTTAGACCACACAGATGCCCCGTATAAGGCTACGGATTGCACAACCCCTGCATAGAGACGGCGAACTTCTTCTCTTGGTCCCAAAAGCTTAGGTAGCAGTCTGTGGATTGCACCCGCTACATTCTTGATCCAGGAGACAAGGCGCTCCAAGTGAAACGAGCAGCAGGAATGCTCTCAAACAACTTGCCAATCACTTTCAACAGGCATATGGGACGGTACGCAGAGGGAGATTCTGCTACACTACCTCCCTTTTACAACAGGGCCAATCTTGATACTTTCCAGGCAGTTAAACTCAGCACCCTGACCCGACCTGGTATTCCATCAGGTCCTGGCGCATTGTTCCGAGCTCTTAAGCGGCCTATAGCTTGATCTAGTTTTTGGACAGTCACATCCATGTCATCTTGCCAATCCCACGAAAATAGGGGAGAGCCTAAGGTACTTGATCGTTCTGCTCGGAATAGCGTGTTGATCACTCATCCCAGCAGGCTTGTATGTAACGTTTCCGCCAGAGGAGGCATCCAGGGCCTGAGCTTATCCAGCACCATCTTATAATGACGACCCCATAGATGTGTGTTGTGTTGTCCTCCAAGTGCTCTACCCGGGATCGAGTCTTAGCATTTGCGATTGCGAGATGTAATGTCTTCGTGACAATCCTGAGATTCAGGTCGTAATATTCATCGACTTCCCGCACATTTGCTCAAGTCGTCAATCCATCTAGTGCGGGGGTCGTCCTACACTGCGATGGTCAGTAAGAAGCTGTTAGTCAAGAACTTTCTTCCCCATCGCTTATCGGTTCCACGAGCTATATCGGCAGCCCATCGACATTTCTACTGTGCGTTGTCCTAATGCGGATGTCTTCATTGCGAAATCTATCACACAGAGAAATACCGAGCATAGCGTGCTTCATAGCTCGCTGAGCAAATGCCCGCTGTATATATTAATATATGTAAATAGATTCAAGATATACTCTTTAGTTTCGGGATATGACATCACCCTGTCTTACACCCTTCTGCAGTTGGATGGGATTTTGTACTGGACTGTACTATGAGGACATCGTAGTCTTGTTGTACAGTTACCTCAACACCTCGATATACATAGCAAAGAGAGTCCTGCCCAAATTTCAACAGAATAGAAGGCTTTCTCGTAGTTCACATGCGCTAGGCAAAAGGGAGATTATACACTTCAGTCTTCTATATAATCTACCGCAGAGTGGGTATGTGATCTACAGTACTGAAGTTTTTTCGAAATCCGGCTGCCCCGGAAGGCTGGAAGTCGTCGAGTCTTGAAGCCAGGAAACTCAAAATGATAGCACCATCCTGAAGGACGGTATTAAAGAGCCTCTGAAGGACCATAAGTACCGGTCCTCCACACGCTTTCAAAAGTTGTTGTAATTTCGGTTCTCTCTTGATGCTTTGCCATTCGTTGGATGATCAAGAGCCATTCTGATCTCGCTTAGACTGACGTCCGGAATATTCTCGGAACAGTGTCGGACAAGCTTTTTTATATTACTCACACGTGTCTATAGAAACTCTCAATCTCAATTAAAACTTCTAAACTAAAACGTGTGTGGTTGGAAATAGGAACACTTTCGACTGGTGATTTTGTATGCGTATAACGTATCTATAGTTTAAAATATTGGTTCTATCCTTCAACGTCCCTAAAACAATATTATTACAGCCAACAACAACAATTCTGACGACAACTGATTTCACAAAGTAGTCGTGCGTGACAGAAAACCTCGTGAAAAACGGTAAGCACTAAGAAAATGATATGAAAACACTGTAACTTGGGCAATCGAACTGCCAAATCAATCACATCGATGAGTTCTGTATGCTAGAAGCAGCTTTCAGTATGTTTATCTTTTAAATAATTAGTCAGTGATGGCGTAAACAATAGTATGCACTCGGTATTTTTTCTTGTTACTAAAAATGTTTTACTCGTCCCTTTTCGAGTAAGGATAGTAGCGACCACCCGATCCCAGACCTTAGAATACCATCTTATTTTAGGGAAAGGTGTAACGTATTTAAATATTAGCAGGATTAAGTTCGCCAAATATTATTTTAGAAGTTTTTTTAAAAAAAAGATAATTAGTACCGACGATGGACGAACTAAAATTAAGCAAACGAACCGGGAGCCAAGTAGGTACTTTGAGATTGTGTTGCAAGTGCACAGAAACCACTGAAATGTGTAATGCTATAAAATCGATAAATACAGTGCAATTTAGAGTCCGATTTAGAGACCGGCTCAATTGGCGTTGAGCCAGAGCCATATAGATTTATCTCTACGAATATAAATAGGAATATCATCAAAGAATTCAGAAGTGTTTAGTCTTTCCGCTTGCAATACGATATGAACAAATTTTATTAAGACTGGAGAATTTCCAAAAATTATTTCTTTTTTGCTTTATAACTTAAAGTTCAAACAAGGAAAAATGATGTGATATGATGGAGAATTGACCAAATCACAATGCCAAAATTGTTTTTCAAAATTTGTGAAAAAATAAGGTAACTTATTAAAAATTATAATGATTTTAATAACAAAAAATAATGTATTTGAATTTTTTAATGCATAGTACTTGTTACTTCTTGCTGTCACAACTTTTGCATCCGCCTGTGTTAGTTAAATTATCAAAAACACTTTGCTGGACTAGATTAATTTACTAATATGCTGGTGAATCAAGTTCAACATCCGATAATTTAAGACAAAGTTATCGGATGTTGAACTTGCATGAATGGTCCGTCCGGGTAAGTACCACGGCCTCACAGAAGACCGTACGTTAGCTGCGCTCCGCTTTGTTAAAATATGGGGATGCATCTGCAACCATACGGGTGTTGCAAATATCAATGCAAGGGCGGCGGTTATCACTTAACATTAGGAACCGACAGCGCGCTTGCCACTTCCTCACATAAAAAAGGAAAACAGTAGGAAAATTTCAGCTCTGTTAACAAAAATGATAAAAAATCGTTACAAAAATGTTCGAAGTCTGAGCGTACAAAGACTCGATATGATTGTTATG